TCACGCCTTGAAGATCTGGCGCCATCATTTGTACGGTGTACCTTGTGAGATTTATACTGATCACCGGAGTTTGCAACATCTATTCAAGCAGAAGGACCTTAATTTGCATCAGAGGAGGTTGTTAGAGCTGCTGAAGGACTATGATATCACTATTTTGTATTACCCGGGCAAGGCCAATGTGGTGGCCGATGCTTTGAGTCGCCTGGAGGAGAGTTTAGGGAGTTTGGCTTAATTACCAGCAGCAGAGAGGCCCATGGCGATGGATGTTCAGGCCTTAGCCTGTCAGTTTGTGAGATTGGATCTTTCGGAGCCTAGTCGGGTCCTCGCTTGTGTGGTTTCTCGGTCTTCTCTATTTGATCGTATTCGGGAGCGTCAGTTTGATGACCCTCATTATCTTGTCCTCAAAGACAAGGTTCTGCATGGTGATGCCTGAGATGTGACTATTGGTGATGACAGGGTATTGAGGATGCAGGGTCGGGTTTGTCTACCCAATGTTGATGGGCTTCGGGAGTTGATTCTAGAGGAGGCCCATAGTTCGCGGTATTCCATTCATTTGGGTGCCGCGAAAATGTACCAGGATTTGAGGCAACACTATTGGTGGAGGCGGATGAAGAAAGATATAGTTGGTTTTGTAGCTCGGTGCCTCAATTGTCAGCAGGTAAAGTATGAGCACCAGAGACCGGGTAGATTGCTTCAGCAGATAGAGATTCCGGAGTGGAAATGGGAGCGGATCACTATGGACTTTGTAGTTGGGCTCCCACGGACCTTGAGGAAGTTCGATGCCATTTGGGTGATTGTGGATCGGCTGACCAAGTCTACGCATTTCATTCATGTGAGTACTACCTATTCTTCGGAGTGGTTGGCGGAGATTTATATCCGGGAGATTGTCCGTCTGCATGGTATTCTAGTTTCCATCATTTCAGATAGAGGTACTCATTTCACATCACGGTTCTGGAGGGCCGTAAAGCATGAGTTGGGTACTCGGGTGGAGTTGAGCACAGCATTTCACCCTCAGACGGACGGGCAGTCTGAGCGCACTATTCAGATTCTTGAGGATATGCTCCGTGCGTGTTTGATTGAGTTTGGAGGGTCTTGGGATCAGTTCTTGCCATTGGTGGAGTTTGCCTACAACAACAGTTATTAGTCCAGCATTCAGATGGCACCGTCTGAGGCTTTATATGGTAGGTGGTGTAGATCCTCGGTGGGTTGGTTTGAGCCGGGTGAGGCTAGATTATTGGGAACTGACTTGGTTCAGGATGCTTTGGAGAAGGTTAAGTTGATTTAGGATAGACTCTGTACAGCCTAGTCTAGACAGAAGAGTTACGCGAACCGGAAGGTTCGTGATGTTTCCTATATGGTTGGAGAGTGGGTTCTGCTTCGGGTTTCGCCTATGAAGGGCGTTATGAGATTTGGGAAGAAAGGGAAGTTGAGTCCGACATTTATTGGCCCTTTTAAGATATTGAGGCATGTTGGGGAGGTTGCTTATAAGCTTGCCTTACCTCCCAGCTTGGCAGGAGCTCATCCGGTATTTCATGTTTCGATGCTCCGGAGGTATCACGGTGAACCGTCACATGTGTTGGATTTCAGTTCAGTCCAGTTGGACAAGGATCTATCTTACGTTGAGGAGCCAGTGGCGATATTGGATAGGCAGGTTCGAAAGGTGAGGTCAAAGAACATTGCATCAGTGAAGGTTCAGTGGCGGGGTCGGCCGGTCGAGGAGGCGACTTGGGAGACATAGCAGGATATGCGCAACCGTTACCCTCATCTTTTCACTACTTCAGGTATGTTTCTATGATCGTTCGAGGACGAACGAATGTTTAAGTATGGGAGAATGTAACGACCCGGCCGGTTGTTTTAAGAATTGACGCCCCGATCCCTTAGTAACTGCATTCCCCGTGTTTGTTTCTACTATTGTGAGTTGCTGGGAGGATTTATTTGGAGTTTCAGAGAGTTTTGGGACACTTGGTCCCTAAAAGAGAGTTTAAGTTTTAGAATTTGGACCGTAGTCGGAACAGTGTGAAGACGGCCTCAAAATGGAATTTCGTTGGTTCCGTTAGTTCTGTTGGGTGATTTCGGGTTTGGGAGCGTGCTCGGAGTTTGTTTTGGAGCTCCGTAGTTGATTTAGGCTTGAAATGCCGAAAGTTGAATTTTTGAAGTTTGCGGTTCGAAAGTGAGATTTTGATATTGGGGTCGGAATGGAATTCCGAAAGTTGGAGTAGCTCCGTAGTGTTGAATGTGATGTGCTTGCCAAATATCAGTTCATTCAGACGAGGTTTGATAGACTTTCGGATCGAAAGCTTAATTTGAGAGTTTTTGGAGTTCTTAGGCTTGAATCTAATGCTTAATTGGTGTTTTGATGTTGTTTTGAGCGTTACGAAGGTTGGAACAAGTTTGAATGATGTTTTAGGATTGGTTGGCAGGTATGGGTTGAGGTCCCGGGGACCTCGGGTGAGTTTCGGGTGCTTAACGGAAGCTGAATTGGACTTAGGAGAAATATGAAGTTGGCTGAACCTATCATAACCGCACCTGCGTGTACTGGACCGCAGGTGCGGCACCGCAGAAGCGGTTGAAGTACCACAGTTGCGGTTTGAGGCGAAATGGGATTTGACCGCTAATGCGGCCAAGGCACCACAGAAGTGGTACCGCATCTGCGGAAAGGAAGTCGCATGTGCGGAAAGTCCCCGTTTAATGAAAAGTCGTAGGTGCAACTTGGTCTTGCACAGAAGCGGGACAGCAGGTGCGCTCAGAAAGCCGCAGATGCAGTTTTACTGGTCAGAAAAGGGGCAGAATCGAGGGTTAAGTTCAAAACTTGGAAAACTCAATTTGGAGCTCGGTTGAGGGCGATTTTGGGAGGATTTTGAAGAGGATATCAGTGGGTAACGATTCCTAATCCCTTTCTAGTTGTGTTCCTATAATCTAATCTTAGTTTTGTCATTTAATTTTGGATTTGGGATGAAAAATTGAGGAAAAGTGGAGAAAAGTTCTTAGGCCTAATTTTGCGGTTTTGATCTAGATATTGATGTCGGATTGGAATAATTTTGGTATAAATGAACTCGTGAGATCATGAGGATTCTGAATTTGAATTTTACTCGATTCCAAGACGTGAGCCCGAGGGGCGTTTTGGTCATTTATCCTAATTTCGCGTATTAGCTTAGAATTAATTAGTTGAATTAGATACTTGAAGTGTTATTTACATTATGCAATTGATTTGAATAGATTTGGGCCATTTGGAGTAGAGTACTCGTGGCAAGAGCGTGGTTTCGGGTTGATTTAGATCCGGTTCGAGGTAAGTGGCTTGCCTAACCTTGTGTGGCGGAACTCCCCTTAGGATTTGGTATTGTTGATATTTGAAATGCCTTGTACGTGAGGTGACGAGTGCGTACTTGTGCTAATTGTTGAAAATCCATTTTCATTAAGTAACTATAATTGTGATTCCTTTTCCTATTTATACTGCTTGTGATTTAAGCCTGTTGTTAGCTTAGGGAAGCATGTTTAATTGACTTAATTGCTTTACTTGCTCAAACTGCCTTATTTGGATTATGTGCAGCATGCTAGGTTAGAAATACTTGTTTTACCTTGGTATGAAATTGGAATTGAATTGAGTATTCTTCGTGTTGCTGCTGTGTGTTTACTTTGGGACTACGGGACGGTATCCCGGGAGATCCCCTTGCCTATTTACTTTGGGACTACGGATTGGTATTCCGGGAGCTCCCCCTGCACTTTTATATTGGAACTACGCGACTGCACCTCGTAGAGTACTAGGTATTTACATTTGGGACTACTGATCGGGATTCTGGTAGATCCCCGCACACTATGAGTTGGACTACGGGACGGTATCCTGGAAGATCCACTGGATACTTATGTTTGGGACTACAGGACGGTATCCTGGGAGATCCCCGTTAGTTATCTCTATGCTGAGCCGTATTCTTTTCATGATTACTTCTGCCTCTGTAATAGTTGTTGTTATTCTTATTGTCCTGTGTTATTTCACACTATTAGCATTTAATTATATTTTCGTATTCTATACTATTTTATCTCATTTTTCATCTATAATCAGTAGTCCCTGACCTTCCTCGTCACTACTCGACCGAGGATAGGCTTGGCACTTACTGAGTATCGTTATGGTGTACTCATGCCCTTTCTGTGCATGTTTTTCATGTGCAGATCCAGGTACTTCGACTCAGCCCTACTACCCTTGAGGCAGAGTGATCCATCAGAGACTTCGAGGTATGTCTGCCGCGTCCGCAGACCGAGGAGTCCCTTTCCATTCTCTCTCATAGTATTAGCCCTTTTGTATTTACTCTTGTTTAAACACTCTGGAGTTAGAACGCTGTAGTTATTCCACAGCTTGTGATTTCATGAGATTCTGAGTTTTGGGAAATGTAGTTTCAGTTTAAGAGTTGTATTGTATATGCCGAGCGGCATCTTTAAACCTTGACTATGCTTATTCTGCAAGTTTTTATTTGTTTTATTCTGTTGTTTCTTTTTTCGTAATTTGTTAGGCTTACCTAGTCGTAGAGACTAGGTGCCGTCATGATAGTTCATGGAGGGCCAACTGGGGTCGTGACAGGAGCGCGTCCGGACTGTGATTTGGAGGTTCGTAGTGGAATTAGGCTTGAATTGGCGAAAGTTGGAAATTTGGCAATTTTGGTCGGCAATGGAAAATTTGATATCGAGGTCAGAATGGAATTCCGGAAGTCGGAGTAGGTTCGTAGTGTCATTTGTGACGTGTGTGCAAAATTTGAGATCATTCGGACGTGATTTAGCGGGTTTCAGCATCGTTCGTGAAATTTGGAAGTCTAGAAGTTCTTAGGCTTGAATCCGAGGTTCATTTGGTGTTTTGATGTTGTTTTAGGTGTTCCAAAGGCTCGACTAAGTTCATATGTTGAAATGTGACTCGTTGGTAATATTAGTTGAGGTCCCGAGGGCCTCGGGTGTGTTCAGAGGTTTACTGGGTTGGTTTTGGTGTTGTGAACAGCTGAAATGGCTGCTGGTGTAAGCTCTTCTGGTGTTTCCGCAACTGCGGAAGAGGAGTCGTAGGTGCAAGGGTCGCAGGAGCGGAAAATGATCGCACATGTGGAGTTTTGGAACCTGAGGAAGGAGCGCAGGTGCGCAAGCTTGGATGCACCTACGAGCCTACAGGTGCGAGGTCTGGCCACAGGTGCGGAGTCTGGGTGGTTAAGTGGATTGCGCAGGTGCGGTCCCGCAGGCGCGAGAAATTGGCCGCAGGTGCGGAAGACCTGGGCAGAAGGTATATATTGCACACTTCGCGAATTTTTGGGTATTTTTACCATTGCTATTCGGACTTTGAAGCTTTTGGAGAGTTTTGAAGAGGGAATCAAGGGTGTTTTCATTGAGGTAAGTTACTGGAGCCTAATACTCGAGATTATGGTGATTTTCAGTTGTTTATGTCACACCTCCTTTTTTACTTACTACACCCTGGAAGGGTATAATAAAGGGAGTTATTTCCAATTTGAAGTGACAATCGGAACGGGATTTATTATTAACATTCAGAGTCACCACTTGGGAGATTAATGGTGTCCCAAGTCACCGGTTGAATCCCGATCCGAGGAAATTATGACTCTGTTAACAGTCCGCGAACCAGAACTCCGAGTAAAGAATTCTGTTAACCCTGGGAGAAGGTATTAGGCATTCCCGGGTTCCGTGGTTCTAGCACGGTCGCTCTACTGTTGTATTTGCTTTTACCTGATTTTAAAACATGTTCTAACCTACGTGCCCTTTATTAATAAACCGCTTTTATTTATATTTTTCATTTTTAAAAGAATTGCAACGTCGTGAAAATGCGTCTTGAACCACGTCGCACCAGTGCACCCGTGGTTGTCAACACATTTCGAGTCCGTTGAGATTTGGATTTGGGTCACATAAATGTGCACCCGTACTTAGGAAGGTAAATTTATTTAAAATACGCGCCTAAAGTAGCTAGCGTGTTATTATCTTTGGGGAAGGCCGTGAAATTCGCTAAACGGCACGTCCCGAGATCTAAATATTTTATGTAAGTATTTAAAGAGGGCCATGCAATTCACGTATTCTTGTTTGGCGCGGCTGCGCCTCATTTTTATTTGAGGCCTTTCTAAAAGAGGCTACGGTTCTCTATTAAGGGATTGTCTCTAAAGGGCTTTAATTAACGGGCCCAAAGCTTATATCTAAACTAAGTCTACGATTTGAAAGAACAAGAGTCCTTAATATATTTGCTTCAAATCTGGCCCAGTAGAAGAAAGGCCAAAACTACCATTTCAGGGTCGGCTATTTAGCCTTGGGCCTCAACGCAGGCCTAATATAAGAAATAACTGGGCCAGGTATCCTACACATTAGAATTTAACTCCAGATTTGTTCAGTTCACCAACATCAACTCAATTCTGATAATTTGTAATCAGATCGGGCTAAACTAATGAGACCTTACAAACAATTAGCAAAATCCAATGGTTAGACTAGCGTAGTTAAAGCTCACTGAGAAATAAACACGAAACCTACTGTATTGGCATGCTGTTTTTGAAAGGCAAAACGCTGGGTTAAAACCGACGTAGAGAATCATTTTAGTCTATGCTTAACCAAT